TTTCTTTTTTCATTTGAGTTTCACTTCAAGAGCTATGTAATTTATTTATTTTTGGGAAAAATGTCACATTTTGGATTGGTTTCAACTTTTAAAAAGCAAAAAATTTGGAAAAAAGTAATGGTTTAAGCCACAAACCAATGCGGTTTGTTGGAGGTTCATGAAGTTTTCTGCGTCGCTGCTCTGATAAGGCAGCCAGAGCAATCAGAGACGGCGGTTGCGGTTAGCAACACACATAGCTGTTAAGCACGTCTCTGGCTGCTAAACGCATAATCACGATCAAATACTTTTCCAACACCGCAATACTTGTTAATCGTAAGGCGTTGTCAGAGTATATAAACACTAAAAGTTTTGAAAGCTTGTCGATGTGGGACATAAAAACGCAATGGGTGCAGAGCTATTGTGCCCTTTGACCATTCAAGCTTCGTCTTCGCTTCCATTTCTGTGGACTGAGATGGCTGGAGGTATTATTCAGCAGTTATTGAGGAGGAAACTCCAGCCTCATTCTACTAACCCTTCCTTTTTGTCATCCATCATAGCAAAGAAAGATGATGCTGGCTCTACTGGCAGCAGGTCCTTAAGAGCACTTGCATTAATTGGAGCTGGTGTGTCAGGGATTTTGAGTTTTGCAACAACAGCATCAGCTGATGAAGCCGAGCATGGCCTGGCATGTATCCATGGCCTCACAAGGGCATCCTCAGTTCATATGATCATGGTTCGATTCGTCGTGGTCATCAAGTTTATACACAAGTCTGTGCTTCCTGCCATTCTATGTCTTTGATATCGTACCGTGATTTGGTTGGTGTCGCTTATACAGAAGATGAGGTAAAGGCTATGGCAGCTGAGATTGAGGTGGTTGATGGCCCTAATGATGAGGGTGAGATGTTTACCCGCCCTGGTAAACTCAGCGATCGTTTTCCTCAGCCATATGCAAATGAATCAGCTGCTAGGTTTGCTAATGGAGGAGCTTATCCCCCAGATCTAAGTCTTATTACCAAAGCCCGTCACAATGGTCAGAACTATATGTATTTATTTGCCCTTCTAACCGGTTATCGTGACCCTCCTGCTGGGTGTTTCGATTAGAGAGGGACTTCACTATAATCCTTATTTTCCTGGTGGAGCAATTGCCATGCCTAAAATGCTTGCTTAATAAAAAAGATGCAAAGCAGGACAGTGAAATTAACTCTGAAGCAGATGGGGATGACCTATATGTTGAACGGATACGTCTTGAAAATATGCCACTAAGGTCCTATTGCATCTCTGTGTGTACTCTTGTGTGTGTTTGTTGTTGTTGCTGCTACTGTTTTTCTTGTTATCCTGTTATCTTATTTTCTTTGTGTGGACCCTTGATAGTTGATAGTGCATTTATATAACATTATTAATTTATTACTTGTAATAGATGCTTATCTGATGCATCTTTTTCACGTTGACCATTCTGTGCAAGCTGAATGACATTGCTTCTGATAATCTAGATTTATGTAAATCCTGATTCTGCTTCCATTGAACAAAAGATTTAAATTCTCATTGTTTGCTCAATACTGCATAAAATTTTGGTACTAAATGTTACTTTGGAATTACTAGTTTACAACCATTACACTAATACAACCTCTGGAAAAGTTAACAATGACCATATCCAAGCTAATAGTCATTTTGGATCGAGGTTCTGGATCTTAAATTAGCTCAAGTACTGGGGCATAGAGAGTTCTATTGTGATGAAAGTCTAAAACTTCAATTGTATATAGAATGGTTGGATTTAAGATTTGCTCATGGGTTAAGAAAATAGTTCAAATGCCTCAAAATTCCTCATACATTCAGTCAATCTTCTGATTTGTCTAAGAAGCACTGATGTTCCATTCTCACCAAAATTGCTGTGCTCATGCATCTAAGTTGCATAAATTTTGAATTTGTGATGATCTGGTCACTGACTCACTCATGAGATTGTTTGCTGCAATTGCCAGTGTCCGGAATTTGCTGGGCAAGACCATGAACCAAGAACCGACATTTGATATGGAACACTCTCTTCCCATGACATTGGCTTTGATGGCCTGAATGGGGCACATGGCCTGAAGATATGGAACACTTGCAGGGTTGAAAGTGGGATTTTCATGGTTCTTAAGGTGAGACTATGTTACATTGGAATGTGGATTGAGTATCTATATATAGTAAAACAACTAAGCTTGTGGGGATTTTTTTTTTTTTTTTTTTTTGAGTTGAAAGATATTTTTGGGGTACATGGACTGTAACAAAGTATAAAAGGTGAGGCCACTGTGGCATGGTTTAGTTATCTTTACTGCATACATTCTGATAAGTTATACTGAATTTTCCAAAGATTTGATAACATGCAATCTCTGATTATCATGCAGCTGTCAGGATGACAATATAAGTTTTTTTTTTAATTATTTATATTTGTATATTAAAAAAGACCCTAATGCTATAAATACCATAGTTCCCTTGTTATAATTTTCCCTGTTTCTTCTTTTATTAGTACTTATTTAAATAGGATACTTTGATAGGTTTTTGTGTTAAAAGACTCTAATTCATATTAATTGGTGTGAAATGATTTTGTGCGTATAGATTATCAAGCTTTTCTTGTTTTGAGCTTTAGACTGAGTTTTGCCATTTCTACCACTATAGGAAATATATGCAGGAAATTCATGGTATAAAAAATTGTAAGGCTAATAGGGCTGTTATATGTTTTTGACAGGTACACATTTCATATGCTGAGCTGAACCCCAGTTTATAGACCTAATGTTCATTTAAGTTTTATATTTGCTGGACCTTATACACTTGATGTTACCTTCATTTTGAAATCTGCAAGATAGGTGGCTGTAGTTAGAGGACACCAGCTAATTGTTGGTATTTTAAAAGTTCATGAAATAATATGAAAATGTAAATTTTAATATGCAAAAGTTATTTTAATGTTAGAAGCATACAAGTGTAACAAAATGATTTGATCCAAGTTCTGTTATAAGTTGCTGGCAGGAATTAATTTCAGAATGCAAGTGAAGTGCCCTCAAAATGGTTAATTTCTTATTTTATCCTTCTATTTACAAAATAGTTTATTTGATGTTGTGCTAATTATCCATGTCTCAATGTGTAGAACTGCTTCAGCTTTGAATTGTACTTCGTTGCAATGATTACACTCATATAAGTACCTTCTCTGGTTATTGTAATGATATAAATGTGCATGTAGGTCTGCTGTAAATGATGAGGATGAGATGAGTGGCCTTCCAAATATTCAAAAAAATTCATCAAGGTAAGAGCTGTTACTGCTTTGATGAGTGGAATGCTAGAGCTATGTAACTATTTGGACTCAAGAGTTGAATGCTTCGGATTTGATTTAATGACAAATTTAATTACATTTTTGTTCTGAACTGATAAAAATCTGTATTCAGTTGGAAGTTGCAAGTATACTTATTGTTAACGTAGGTCTAGATTCTATTCGTGGCAACCATAACATTGTTTACAGATTAATTTGCCTGCTTTCATAAAGCTTGGTTTATGGTGTGAGAAAATTAGTTTTCTTGTCAATTTAGTGGATGTAATTATTGTAACACTTCACTCTCTGTTCTATTCAAGAGATGAGCTGTAAGTATTGCTGAGCATCTGTAAAAGTTTAAATATTGAAAACTTTGCGCATTGTTGAGAAAATGGGGAACAACAGCTCAGCGATCATATGCAAACAACAAGAGGAACAAAAGATTAATCGGCCCATAGTAAACACCAAAAGCCCATATGAAAGGAAGCATAGTCAGTTATAACACCTTGTGGTATTAAGCGCAACATAATCTATTATAATTTACGGAAGCATTACTCTGATAGTGTCACTATTACTCTATGTAATTATATGAACTAACTTTTTCCTTTTCTTTTCCGTATATAATGTCATCCCAATTATATTTCTCATATATTTATAAGCTGTACAGTCTCGTACCTATACAGATTCCTAATTCTCTAACTCATTGACCATAGTCAATGGTCAGTATCTATTCGAGCTGCAATCTGGACATTAGTGATCGGAATTGAGCTGCAAGCTGCTACCTGCCACCATTCGTTGATAAGCGATGTTAACTTTTCCATGAACAGCTGTGTCGTGTTCTTTGCTTTGAAAATTTCCCTGTTTCTTATTTTTTTTTGTTTACCCTTTCAATGTTCTAGGTCTGAAACAATCATAGAGAAGAAGATATTGGTCTTAAAAAAATGGTGGGAAACCAGAAAAGCAAAAAAGAAAAAAAGAAAAAAAGCAAAGAACACGTGAATGCTGTCAATGTTCTAGTTTTTTTTTTTTGAAGTTTAGTCGGGTTTAATGGTGGGAAACTATAAGTTATTATATTTTATACTACTTATATTTTAGACGTGGTTTTATCAATAAGGACAAAGGCTGTGTTTTATCTGTTGATATTTCCAATACAACTGTTTCCTAGAACTCATTTAACCATCTCTTCTATTTGTCTTACAGGTGACAGCTGTTGAATTGGAAAAAGTCTTGACAAAAGGAGCATACATGCTTTTTTATGCTAGGTAACCCCATTTGATTTTCTATCGTTTTCTTTTGGGTAATATCTTATATGTCTATTTCTTTTGAGTAACATGGAAAAAGATATACCATGTTGTCAGAAAATGACTTTGAAATGGTGAGATGAGAGTTGTTGCTTGACTTTAAGCGAAAGTTTCATCAAGGAAACGATAGGAGCATGCCCAGAACAAATTATACTTTCAGTGATTGTGCTGCTTTCTTTTGGCATTATAGAATTTTACAGTGAATTTCATTTCTTATTTTCTATAATACACACATATTTCTCTGAAATATCTGTTTTTCAGTGTTATTCTGCGTGTTCAGTTTGAGTTTTTCATTTATTGAATGCTAAGATGAATGGGAATGACTATTGTGTAATAATCCATTTTGCTTTACTTTTGGGCACAAATTGTTAAAAACTTCAAGTATTGATTTTGCAGACCAATAGAAAGCTTATGGTTTAAAATCAGTCTTGGTGATACCATTCATTCAATTAGGGTGTCTTTGCCTATGTATATTACCCTGTACTAATATCTATTGTTCAAGACTGACTGTTACAAATTAAATAATGAATCTGTTCTTCTATGAGATAAATTCTTTACCTAAGTATCACGAGTTCCAAATGAGATATTTCAAGTCTAAGTGAAACTCTCAACAATTTTGCCTTTTATTTTTTCGAGAGAAGTTTTGGCCTATTGTTTGCTTTATTGGCTTGATGGTTGATTTTATTTCATCTTTGAAAGTGGGCTTCTTACATTCCAATCTTTACTTGTTAGGTACGAGCTGCTATTAAGGTGAAGGCTTCTATTATAATTTGCTTCACTTCATCTGGAAGGGCTGTAAGGTCCAATAGAGCTACCAGAAACTTTTGCAAGACTTACAACATTGACAGAACTGTAAGCTTCCTATTTTTATTGTCATTAGTTGCTTTAAATTTTGCTGTTATTTTAGCTCTAAATTAATTGTAACTATTTCATGTTTATTCTCAAATGATGTAGCCGACTTGGTGACAGTCAATCCTTTTAGTTTTAACACTTCCTTTGTGGGATTTAATGCAGACCCGAGAATGATTTCTTTGAGCTGGTTTGGGAAAATGGCCAGATTTCAATGCAGGGCCTGTCCAATAGAGCTAGAAAGAACCCAACCTGTAAGAGTTTTCCATCTCACAATCCCAGGGGTCAAGAAAAAGATGTAGGACATGCTAATGGTAACAATACAAGGATGATGGGTAAGTTTGGGGATTTAGATACTAGATTGAATGATATTAGAATGTCGGTCCCTTCAGGTGAAGTGGGTTTAAGTCAAGATGAAGATGTGATACCTTGGTTGAATTATGGAATGGATGATTCTTTGCAACATGAATATAGTTCCCACTTCTTAGATGAACTATCTGGGGTCACCATAAATGATCTTCATGCCTTAAATAACTTTTCTATGCATGATAGAAGAAGTAGTTGTGATCAGATATTTAGGGACTTTCAAAGAAACTCTTCACATCATGATTTAAGTTCAGGACAAGGGATCCTTTCCAAGGACTCTTTAGCTGCAGCTGGAGAAGTTGAGACCAATGAACCTAAAGCTAGTACCAGTCAGTTGTAACGGCCACCATTAGCACATCAATGTCAAACATCATTGGCTTCTGTTAGATCAGATACAAGTGAAAATAAAACAACCCAACATGCTCCTTGTGGGGAAATCACTCAGATTCCATCTTCCTCAAGTGGTATTTCAAGCTTAAAGATGGAGAAGCAAGGTCCAATTATGTCTAGCAATAGTTCCACCATAATGAATTTCTCCCATTTTGCAAGACCCGCTTCTGTTGTTAAAGCGAATCTTCAGAACATTGGCTTGACGTCTGGTTTGTCTTCATCAAGATCAGAAAGTGTGGGAATAAAGAATAACAGTGCTGCTATTGCTACAACTAGAAGCAATCCTCCTGAATCAATAAAAGTTTCTTTGTTAACCATAATTTTAAAATTAAATTGCTTTCTTATTGTATTCTTCCATCTTTATAATGTTAAATGCAGGAGAATTAGTGATTTGAATGGACCTGATTCCACTTTTCCTCGAGATGATAATATGACAAAATTGAATGTATTGTGAGTTAGTTGCTCTCATTTTATTTTTTCTTTGCGTGTCAGTGCCTCAATATGGCACTGATTTAAGAAGTACAATATCCAAATAAAGGGCAAATCGTTGAACATCTTCTGTTTTTAGTACAGAACGCAATTTATGTTGTAAAACATGTAATGGATGATATGATTGGCCCATTGTTTTCATGTGTTTGACATGCGGCAGTGACTTGATTTTGTAATAGCAGGGGGTTAATAAAGATCAAATTTGATTATGATCGAGTAGCTATTGTAGGATGTAAAGCTCATAAGTATAGCCAAATTTCATAACTATAACATGGTTTCTGGCACAGTGCAAAAAGTTGGAAAAAAGAAAAAAATTCTTCTTTAAAACCGGTTCGGAAGTGGTTCGGAACCGGTTCAAAAGTGGTTCGGAAGTGGTTCTAGTTCGAAACCGGTTTGAATGCGCGTGCTTTGGGACCCTGCTGGTTGGAGGAGGGTGGTGGTGGTGGTTGTGCGCGTGCTCAGGGACCTGCTGGTCGGAGGAGGGTGGTGTTCCAGTACGGCTAGCTTGTTACGACTTCACTCCAATCACTAGCTCTGCCTTCGGCATCCCCCTCCTAGCAGTTAAAGTAACGAGTTCGGCCATGGCCAGCTCCGACAGTATGACGGGAGGGTGGTGGTGGTTGCGCGTGTGCTCTAGGACCCTGCTGGTCAGAGGAGGGTGGTGGTGGTGGTTGTGCGTTGGGACCCTGGTGGTGGGGAGAATCTGTTTTCTTCTTGTTCGGCCATGCTTCCTCTCCCCTTGCTTCCCTGATTTTTTTTTTTTCTCTGCTTCCGGCTCTCCCCTTACTGTTTCTTCTATATATATATATATATATATATATATATATATATATATATATATATATATATATATATATATATATGTTGATTTACGATACAATAAAATAAAAAAGTAAAATAAAAAAATTCAGTTTAGCGATTTTATTTGACGTAGCTTCCACTCATTTAGACTTTACTAAACCAAGTTGAATTACGATACAATTTTGTTTATTTTTCTCTTTTAAAATTAATACAACATAAGCAGTATCGTACCATATATTTGTTGTACACTAAATAAACATATTAATCAATTATTTTTTTGGTACATTAAATAATGTTAAATATGTTATAAACAAAGAAAAATATTCCTTACAATAAAATTTCAAATTATTTTTTTGTTTCTTTTAACTTATTTATATATTATTTATATACTAGTGATCGAGGATGAGGATGGCTGATTGTGGTCGTGGTAGTAGCTGGTCAGTGATGGTTAATGGCAAGAGTGACTCTCATGCTCTCATGTTTGTGTAGTTCATTGGAGAAAATTAAAGAGATGCATGATGTTCCTATTTTATCATGTACTAATCCAAACCCTTCATTCTTACCCGGCCGTAAAGAAAAAATTATCCAACAAAATCAACTTATCATATCTTGTTGACTAACAAAAATCTATTATTTTCTATGCTGGCTACCATAAGTACCCGTCATATCAGCCCTCAACTTCTTGCCCGTGTTGTTTTTTATTGTTACTCATCTTCATCTGGACAAGCCTAAGATACATTGTTCAAAAACAAAAAAAAATGATACATCATCAAAAGTAACAATATTGAAAAAAATAGAAGTACATATCTATTTGTAAAAAAGAACTTAACTAAATATTTGAGTGTCACACTGAAATATTTTATATGTAAGTTAGACATTAATGATAATACATAGTAAAATTAATTTATGCATGCAAGTTAAATAATAATTTACAATTAATTTATAATTAAATACATGACATGAACATATATGTTATTTAAAGTTAATGTAACTTGAATTATGTTTATTTAAGTTAATGTAACTAATAAAAACACACCCTAAATTTTAATTTATGAAGCCTAAAAATATTAGTCGAGGGTCAATATTTTTCTCCCACACTACATCTGATGCATTCATAGCGAGTACTTTTACAACTTTGTCATTGATCAACCTATCTTATTTGTTATCTCTTTTTCTAGACCTATGAGATATCTTTTTGAAACATTAATTCATCAAATATTATTGAACTTTTTAACATGAAAATATTGTAGATTTTCCTCTTTTTCTAGACCTATACCTATTAGGTTCCATCCTGGCTATCTAATGTCGAAGTAGTAATTCATTGGCTAAACAGAAAGAAAGACTAAAAATAAGGATTGCGAGAAAACACCTATCTCTTTTCTGAATTTTATTAACCAAAAACAATCAAATAACAATAGGGTTCAGATTTAAAAAATAACACGTGATTTCCGACAAATATCCGGATAATTGGATTTCCATATCCGGATATTCTAGGCTCAATATCCGGATATCAGTATCCGGATATTCAAATATCCATATCCAGATATTTGATGACAGTAACCCAAAACTTATCTGAATATGATTCAATTGACTTATAATTGATTATTTCTCACTTCTCACACATGAATGCATGATTATAGCATCAATATAACAGTGTTCCACATTAAAAAGATGCTTGTGATATTTATTTACATACCCAACTCTATTAAATCTAAGGGTGCGCTAAAGGGGGTATTTAAGCATTCTGTATACTTAAATTCAACACATGCAAAACACTATTAATTTTTTAACCCAATGGCAGTCCAACAAAATTATGAGAGCTATCATCCAAGCTCCCAATTCGGGTCTTGGTGCTTACAAGCACTAGGTCCAACGGTAGTCCAATTTGGCAGAAACAAAGAATAGAACTTGAAAACCAACCAGCTTCCCAAAACATGCTCCTAGTACACTTTTTAATTTTCTGACTTAAGTTAATACACCAATTTGTTACAGTGAAAAAATCCACGTTCCCTTGCACCTGTAGGTTCGGTTAAGGCTGAAGTGAAGTGTTCCTAATTTATTTCATTATATAATTGTTCTTACAAGACCTAAGGTGCACTAAGATGGCTAATAAGCATGCTATAAATTTAACTTTGACACATGCAAAGCTATATGCCTCAAACTAGTCCACCAAACAGTCTAACCAGACTCAAAGGAGAGCTATTTCCATACTCCAAAACTGGTCCTTTAAGCTAGTCTAAACCAAAAGTTCCAAAGCAACAGAGATAGAAATAAGGAGAATGAAAAAAAAAACATACATTCTCCTAGACTGCACACCAAAACCGATGGGTGAGGAGTTTTGGTTACCTCTTTCAAGTAGTCCACGGTTCACAAATCAGCCAAGAAAATAGTCCCCAATGTAGGTGCTAAGGTTCTCACTCTTTTTCTCTCCAAGGTTCACGAATTCAGCCACATGCAAGGGAGTTCATCTACTCCCCAAGAATCGTTTTCCAGCTGTATGCAGGGAAGAAATCCCCATCAAAACCGGTTCATGAAATGAAGAACAAGGAGATAAAGAAGTATCTCACCTCCTTGATGATGGTTGTCTTCGGTTGCACAAGGAGAAGAAGGAATGGATGTAGGTTTATGTTCCAATTCTCCTTGCTTGTTGCTCCACGGTCGTAAGGGAGAAGAGGGCAGAAGAATATGGTTCAGGGGTATGCTTTCTCCCTATGAGTACATGATGTGAGGGGGAGATGAGGGGAAAAACATGCAAGTTTTGATTCCTTCTCTTGGAGCAGTACGGCTGGTGGACCATGGAGGAAGAGAGTGATCAATTATCTAACCTTAGAGAATGAATTGTGGGTCAACAAAAGGGGTCTTGGCCGCGGCTTGGAAGAGAGTATCCAAGTGTCCTCTTTGTGCCAAGGTGTCGTGCATGCAAGAGAAGAAGGAAGATGGCATGCATGCAAGAGGATGGAGGGCTAGGTGGCAAGCATAGGCTGAGTGGTGTTTGAATTTTTATGCTTGCAATCAGAATTTCTTCTACACTTAGTGCATGGAAAGAGTTGCAAGGATTAGGGGATTTTGGGCTGAACCTATATCCTTCAAGAGAGACTTGGGCCGATGCCCTTTAGGAGAGATTGGGTCCAAAAATATAAGTCCAATGGTTCTACTAACTTATGAATCAGCCCACTAAATTATTAGTTCCCATGTCTTTAGGTATCATTAGACTTTCCATAGATTATAATTCAATTATTCATATACTTTTAACAAGAGTTTCAAATGCCTAAAATAGGTACTCACCTACCATTGTGATTCAAATAATTCCCTAATCTAATTTAACACCATCCTAAAGCAAACATTTATATAGTTCGAAATCAAGTACTCTACTACATTCCTGATTGCAATTTAAATAGATTCCTAATTAGACGGGATGTTACACAAATGGAGAGAAAAGAATAATTTTTGTGTTATTAAAAACCCCAAATTTATGCTGAGTTTATATTTACTGGTTAAATGCTAATGGGCTGCAAGTTTTTATTTTCAGGCCCATTGTTGCCATCCAAATCAGAAAAGCCATAAAAAGAAATAAAAGAAGAAAACAAAAGAAAGGAGAAAAAGAAATGGGCCAGATGTATGAAGCAAATCAAATCAGAGAAGCCCAAAAGAAAAGAGAGAAAAGAAGGAAAGAAAGAAAAGAAAGACTCAGAAGGTACGATTGAGTCTTGCAAACCCTAGCACAACCCTTGTAAGCACACCCATCTCTGTCAAATCCTCATCTCAAACCGTCCATCTTCAATTCCTTTTACAAATCGACCCTTCAAGCCAAATCGTTCTGTAATTCTGGTTTAACCATCAAGTTTTAACCCTCACTCACGGTTCTTTAAGGAGCAATCTAACCCTAAACACTTTTCCTTAAACACAGAAATTGCCAAACACTACCTTTAATTAATGGATGAGCTAGAGTTTGTTAGACGTGTGGGCTAAAGGAATGCTCGTGTAACCTGAAGCAAGGAGCGCGTGACGTGGAGGCTGTGATGAAAGGGCCCACAGCCCATGCATGCGAGATAAGGGTGCTATATAAAGAGGAAGAATAGTGGATGTGAGCTATCCCTTCTTCTTTCGTCTTCTGTATTCATCTTCTTCATATATCTCCTTAGTTTTAGTTTTATTTTTCTGGTACTGTAATGAGTTTTTATTTGGATTTATACCTGTCAGTACAACACTGAGCATTTTCCGGTTATTAGGACTCATGCTGTACTTTTATTTTTCTGCACTCTAAATTGCTGTACGTTTTAATTTCATTTGCTGTTTGTAGCTCAACCCTTATGGGTATGAGCTAAACCTTTTGAGGTTGGGTGTAGGTTACCCGAACCATAGTAATGGATGTTTGTTAAATACTTTTGTTAAATTTTGATTCTCAGTTGTTTAATACTTTGCTTTATAATTAAATATTTTGTCATTGAGGCCTAATGGTAGATATTATGTTAGGAAGTAGTCATTGAGAGGTGACTAATTCTGGAA